CTTCTTCCAGACCTTCTCCCCGACCCCGAAGATGACCACTCTTCGGGTTCTGCTGCACGTCGCTGCTCAGCGTGACTACGAGCTTCACTCTCTTGACTTCAGCACTGCTTTCCTACAGGGCAGCCTACACGAGGAGATCTGGCTGCGCAGCCCACCTGGCTTCACTGGATCGTTTTCTCTTGGTACCCAGTGGAGCCTCCGGCGGCCAGTCTACGGTCTCCGCCAGGCGCCCCGTGAGTGGCACGACACACTGAGGACTATGCTTGCGGCTCTTGGGTTTGCTCCTTCTACTGCTGACCCGTCGCTGTTTCTGCGCACCGACACTTCGCTGCCGCCGTTCTACATCCTTGTGTACGTCGACGACTTGGTCTTTGCCACTGCTGACACTGAAAGACTCGCCCATGTGAAGTTGGAGCTGCAGAAGAGACACACGTGCACAGACCTGGGTGAACTGCGCAGCTATCTGGCTTGCAGATCACCCGGGACAGAGCATAGCGCACCATTACCTTGACTCAGTCACACATGGTGCAGCAGGTCCTTCAGCGCTTCAACTTCACGTACTCCTCGCCTCACGCCACTCCTCTGTCTACTCGCCACTCGCTCTCAGCTCTGCCTTCGGATGAGTCCGTAGAGCCGAGTGGCCCGTACCCAGAGCTTGTTGGCTGCCTCATGTACCTGATGACCTGCAGTCGACCTGACCTGACATACCCTCTTAGCATCTTGGCATGCTATGTTGCTCCTAGGAGACACCGACCAAAGCACATGGCTGCAGCTAAGAGGGTGTTGTGCTACCTGTGCAGTACGTCGGGCATGGGGCTCGTGCTTGGAGGACGGGCTCGAGTTGTCCTCACTTGTCACGCAGACGCTTCTTGGATTGACGACTTGGCTACGTAGCGGTCGTCACAAGGTTACATCTTCAGCCTTGGTTCTGGCTCTGTTTTGTGGCGGTCTACCCGCTCGTCTTCTGTTCTCGGCTTCAGTTGTGATGCTGAGATCTACACTGGGGCCATGGCTGCACAGGAGTTACGCTGGCTCACCTATCTGCTGACCGACTTGGGAGAGCTGCTTCATTTTTCCTCCAGTTCTCTACGTCGACAACAAGGCCATGCTGGCCTTGTGTCAGGAGCACAGACTGGAGCACAGAACGAAGCACATTGCTCTGCGCTAATTCCTTGCTCGAGAGTTGCAGCAGTGTGGTCAGCTTCGTCTTGCTTACGTGGCCTCTCGGGCCAACACTGCTGATATCTTTACCAAGGCACTTCAGCCTTGTGATTATCAGCGTTTTCTGTACTATGCTAGGTCTTGTGCCTACCGGGCCTCACTTACTTACCTCTTGACTTTTGTTTTACTGTGATTTATATATACCTGCACCTGCATGCTTACCCTGCTAGGTTGAGATCACTGTCTTGCTTGTTCACCTTGCTTTATAATCCTGCATATAAACTGGTGCTCAGAATGTGTGGTGACGTTGTGATCCACCCTGAGCTTGACCTTGCCTTGTTCTCTTGCTTGTCCCCCACTTTGCCTATGGGGGTGTGTCAGAACTATATTGTCAGCTGCAGTGGGGTAGACAATATGGGGTACAACTCTTTTAGGTTTTCATACTTGTACCCACCTGCTTGCTAGTTCATTCATTCCTTGTTCTTATTCTCACAAAAATGGGTTTGAATTGAAAGATCCACCTGGGTACAAAACGAGGCTATATTTAGTCTCGACACAAGGCCAGTTACCCAGGTGTTACGCAAATATTCTGAGGGTCGCGAAGCGCCCCGAGCAGAACCTTCCCGAACTCATTAGAAAGCAATTCGGTGGAAACCGAATATGCTTGAGTTCGGTACACGTAACCTGGTTCGGTGCTATAACTATAATAAAATATAGGAATGCACCTAACCTAGGAAATCAAGCATATCTATTCATGATAAAATAAACCCATGCTAGATATAGCGTAATAAAGTCTAGGCAAGCTAGAAAAGCCAGCATAAGCTGTTGTACTCTCACAAGAGGCTTCTTCTAGTCACCACTGAAAGTCGCAACCTGCGAAATCGCCTCCCTCCACTCTCATGATTTTGGTATCCGGTTGCGCATATTTCGCCAGGGCTCACTTGGTGCAATGCAAACGAAAGCAGTAAGCAATAATTTTGCCCTGAAGGCGTGTAACATCTATGTGACCAAAGCAAAACTCCGACTATTCGGTTGGGGCATGCGAATGCGAATGGTGTAACACGATGGTGAGAGATGCAAAATTTTCCCACCAAATGACCATGATAACGACGGAGCCGGCGAATGCCCAAACTAAGTGATCATACGTGATGGTCACCCAAATATATAATGTTGGGGTAACACTCACAGATTAGCAATGCGAGGTAGTCACAAGGACTTCATAAAACATTAATTTTATAGTCATGTACTTTCACGACCTGCACTCAAGAGTGACTTCCCCCGAATTTTTGTCGTAATGGCCTATGAGGTGCTGAATACTACCATCTTTCCGTGCACCGTATATTTCCCGAATGTGCGAATGCTGAAATAGATTACACATTTAAATTCTATTTACGGGGGTAGTTAAAGCGGCGGTCTCCATTCATCAAGGTATTTTTGGGGTTTTTTTCAGGACGCACACCCAACGACGCGCACAGATTTGTTTACGAATGACCATCTTCCAGAATCAGTAGGTGCGAGGGAGCCAAACGACACTAGCAAATTCCGCCAGTTTCGTGAGGAAGTTCGGTTGGGAAACAACCCTCAATGACTCTGCGATCATTTCGTGAGGTTGGGTTGGGGAGGGGATTGGCGAAAATATTTAGCCAATCATGAGCAGGGAAATTTTCAAGTGGGGTTGTGCTGTCACAAACTGGGAAACAAGCCTCGCCACAGAAGCACAAGGCTGAGAAGATTGAAACGAGAATGAAATGAACTATGAATGAACTGAGTACAAGTACTAACCCCAATTGGGTTGTACCCCTTATGGGCTACCCCACTATAGCCTACACAATAAGCACAAGCTATATGTTCTGACACACCCCCATAGGCAAAGTGGGGGAGAACAAGGGGTCACAAGACCAGTCAAGCAAAGCAAAGCAAAGCAAGCTCAGGGTGGATCACAAAGTCACCACACATTCTGAGCACAAGTTCAAGGCCACAAGGCCAGTTCACATGCAGGAGTACATATATATAAAGGACTAGACAAGCAAGAGCAGGTGTATATATATGCAACAGTACAAGCAAGGTTAAGAGGTGAGCAAGTGAGGCAAGACAGGCACAAGACCCAGCTGCATGCAGAAGCGCTGATGATCACAAGGCGCAAGTGCCTTGGTGAAGACATCAGCAGTGTTGGCCTCAGAGGCCACGTACGCAAGCCGCAACTGACCACGCTGCTGTAGCTCACGAGCAAGGAAGTAGCAAAGAGCAATGTGATTTGTTCTGTGCTCCAGTCTCTGCTCTCGACACAGGGCCAGCATGGCCTTGTTGTCTACGTACAGGACCGGAGGAGAACGAGGCGACTCTCCAAGGTCGGTCAGCAGGTAGGTGAGCCAGCAAAGCTCCTATGCAGCCATGGCCCCGGCGTAGATCTCAGCCTCACAACTGGAGCCGAGAACAGAAGACGAGCGAGTAGCCCGCCACGAAACAGAGCCGGAACCAAGGCTGAAGGTGTAACCCTGTCACGACCGCTGCGTAGCCTGGTCGTCAGCCCAAGAAGCGTCCGCGTGCCCAGTGAGGACCACTGGACTCCGCCCTCCATGCACTAGCCCCATGCTCGACGTACTGCACAAGTAGCGCAACACCCTCTTCGCTGCAGCCATGTGCTCTGGTCGTTGTCTCCCAAGAGCAACATAGCGTGCGAGAATGCTAAGAGGGTATGCAAGGTCAGGTCGTGTGCAGGTCATCAGGTACATGAGGCAGCCAACAAGCTCTGGGTACGGGCCACTCGACTCTACAGACTCATCCGAAGGCAGAGCTGAGAGCGAGTGGCGAGTAGGCAGAGGAGTGGCCTGAGGCGAGGAGTACGTGAAGCCGAAGCGCTGAAGGACCTGCTTGCACCATGTGTGACTGAGTCAGGGTAATGGTGCGGCTGTGCTCTGTCCCGGGTGATCTGCAAGCCAAGGTAGCTGCGCAGTTCACCCAGATCTGGTGCACGTGTGTCTCTTCTGCAGCTCGGACTTCACGTAGGCGAGTCAGCAGTGTCAGCTGTGGCAAAGACCAAGTCGTCGACGTACACGAGGATGTAGAACGGAGGCAGAGAGGTGTCGGTGCGCAGAAACAGCGACGGGTCCGCCAGTAGAAGGAGCAAACCCAAGAGCCGCAAGCGTAGTCCTCAGTGTGTCGTGCCACTCACGTGACGCCTGGCGGAGACCGTAGACTGGACGCCAGAGACTCCACTGGGTACCAGGAGGAAAGACCCAGTGAAGCCAGGTGGGCGGCGCAGCCAGATCTCCTCGTGCAGGCTGCCCTGCAAGAAAGTTGTGCTGAAGTCGAGAGAGTGCAGCTCGTAGTCACGGCGAGCAGCAACGTGCAGCAGTACCCGAAGAGTGCGTCATCTTCGGGGTGGGAGAGAAGGTCTGAAAGTAGTCAACTCCCTGCCGCTAACTGAAGCCACGAGCCACATAACGCGCCTTGAAGACAGGCGGAGAACCCGGCGGCCGCTTCACCCTGAAGATCCACATGCCACTGACGATGTTCGCCCTAGGAGGGGGGACAACATCAACGTAGGTGCCTGTGGACTTCTAGGAAGCCATCTCTGCATCCATAGCTGCCTGCCACTGAGAGGAGTAGGGACCCTCTATCGCCTCCGCGTAAGAGCGCGGAGTCGGGATGTCAAGTGCATCCGGGTCTCCCTCAGGGGTAAGCAGTACGGACACGAGATGAGGTGAAGCAGCATCCAAACACTGGAACTTCTCCTGCCTGTCCTCAAGGACGTCCGTGCCAAGGGCACACTCACCCCGACGGACGGAGGACAGACAGACTCAGACTCAGCGACAAGACTAGCAGCGTAGTCTAGGCGATTAGCGAGCAGCAAAGTCGACGAGCTCAGCAACTAGGGCAGACGCAGCAGTGGACTCGAAAGAAGGGTCAGTGACGACAGTAGCCAGGAGACGCGTGACAGTAGGACTGGCAGCACGAAGAGAGTCCGACTCCGGGTCGGCAAAAGTAGGAAGAGAGGACTCAGGAGGAGAAGGCAAAGGGGCACGCAGAGGAGCAGTGGACGGACGCAGAGGACATCCTGTGCGTGCCAGGGACAGGAGGAGGATGCTGACGCAAACCATGACCACTAGCACGAGCAGCACGGACAGGCGACGCAGGGCGAGACGCAGGATCACGACCACTCAGTAAGACCTCCACTAGGACCAGTGTAGGGAGAAGGAGCAGGCAAACGGGGAGGTAGGCTGCAACTGTAACTGTGACGGGACTGGCGGGTGGACACTCTAAAGAAAGAGGAGGACCAGTAGAAAACGGAAGACCAAGATCCTGCTGCAGGAGTGGAACGAAGTACAGTCGATGCCGCGCGGCAACGCCAGACACAGAAGGTACAGCACCAATACCCCAGAAGGAGCACCTGCTCCAGCTGCACCTCCAGCAGCGCCACAACCTCCAGCAGTACCAGGAGTACCCGCCAGTAAGGACCGCCAGCAGTAGCCTCAGCTCCAACACCCTCAGCAGCACCAGCTCCAGTCGAACCCGCAGGCCTAGCAGCTCCAGTACTCCCAGTACGAGCACCTCCGGGACCCGCGACAGTTAGCACCCTCAGTAACCGAAGAACCTCCAGCACCAGCAGCAACGCCCTCCAGCACCGGGCAAACCACTCGCGCAGCTCCCGTGGAAGAGGAGTGGCTCCCGCAGAGACGTAGCACCCGGAGAACCTCCAGGCGGAGCACCTCCAAGCTCAGCACCCCCAGGCTCAGCACACCCAGGCTCAGCACCCCCCAGGCTCAGCACCCCCAGGTTCAGTAACCCCAGGCGCAGCACCCCCCAGGCTCAGCACCCCCAGGTTCAGCACCCCCACTCTCAGCACCCCCCAGGCTTAGCACCCCCAGGCTCAGTACCCCCAGTGTCAGCACCCCCTGGCTCAGCACCCTCAGCAGCACCAGAGTCACCTGTGACCTCGATAGGCTCGACTGCGTCTACCTGGGACACCACCTGAAGGGACGGACCTTGAGGGGGGAAGGGGTCTACCGGAGGGGGACCTGGTACAAGAAGAGCGGCGTGGGGGGGGAAGAGGCTGGTAGTAAGGGACCGACTCGTCAAACGTGACGTCCTGGGAGGACAGAACCACGGCGAGAGGTGGGTGGTAGAGAACTGCCACCCAGGCGCGTCAGGGGGGAAACCCCAAGAAGACGAGAGGAGCAGCACGAAGGGAGACAGCTTGTCCGCCAGACAAGTCGCGGACAAACGCCGGGATCCCCAGACCCGGAACGCAGACGCATTGCCAACCTTCCCCGTCTCACAGCAAGGCTGGGGAGGTCTCCGGCTCGAGGACCCTGGGGTGTAGGTTGATCTGATGCGCCGCGTACTGAAACCGCAAACGGCCACAGAAAATGGGGAGCAGCCGCATGCATCATAGACGTACGAGCGACGTCCATGACCATGCCAATGCGGCGCTCAGCAATCCCATTTTGCTGCGGGGAGTCCGGAAGCGTGAAGGTCTGACGGATTCCTCGTGCGCGGCAGTAGGCTCTCAGAAGGCCAGAAGAAAACTCTCCGCCTGTGTCCGAGTGCAGACGCAGAACAGGAAAGTCCGAGCCAAGGCTTCTGCTTGAGCTCGAGACGAGCTGCACGGATCCAGTTGATCAGCACCTCAGTGACATCACCCTTGCTGCGCAAGGGGAAGACTGCGGTGTAACGCGAGTAGTCGTCAACAACGAGCAGGAAGTAGCGCTCGTGACCCTGTCCACGGACGTGGGCCGGGCCCCACACGTCCATGTGAAGCGGTCTGCAACGGGGCCTCTGTTGGAGGAAACTGGGAGGAGTGAGGGGCGCCCGCTGGCGCCCCTCGACACAGGGGACACAGGTAGGGCCAGGGCCCTGAGGAAGGGGAGGGAGGGACCGGGGGGGACCAGAAACAAGAAGACGGGAGGCCATGCCTCTGAGCCGAAGCAGAGAGGGGTGACCAAGGCGGTGGTGCCAGAGGAGAGTCTCGTGAGACAGGAGACGACTCGAACAGGGGGCAGACTCAAGACCAGACCTGGACGCTACACCAAACACCTGACCCGACGCAGCTACCCTACCAGACTCAGCAACGGAGGAGACGCAAGTGGTCAGTGTGTACAGGCTCGACCCCGGCTGACGGGTAAACGTAGCCAGGTGTCGGCCTGTGCTAGCCTCTGTGCAGTGCGTCACCCGCTGACGCGCAGGAGTGAACTGGTGTACTCCCCCATCCTGTAGGTCAGCACCACTCACCAGGTTCGTAGAGAACGAGGGGAGGTAGAGACCAGACAGGGTGCCAGAGGGAGCCGCCGGACACGGGAGGACAGTGGAGAAGTGAGACAGAACAGGACCCCCAGAGTGGGTCAGCGAGAGACACCGCAACCGGTCCGACTAAGCGGCGTAAGTGTGGTGCGGTCCCGAAAGAAGGAGCGAGAAGCCCCAGAGTCAAGGGTGAAGGTGAGGGAGGCCGAAGCCGACGCAGTACCTGAGAGCGCAGACTCACCAGTACCTTGAGGACGCAGAAGCACTAGCACCTAGAGCAGCAGCGTCGCAAGCACCTAGGGCAGCAAGCCTTACCAGTACCTAGATCAGCAGTCTCAATGCCCGGATCAGGCCCGGAAACACCGGTAACAGTCACCCTTATCACTAATAGACACAGCATACATGGCAGAAAGGATAGCATCAAATCAAGATCATAGTGGCAACTCCCGCCCTAGACAGCTCGCCCCAGCGAGGGATCTCTGTGGCCTCCGGGAACTGGTGACGCCACGCGTCCGTCAGGCGGCCAAAGCAGCGCTGGGTGGGGTGCGCACCCCCACACTGCTCACCCGCGCGGTCGCCGGTGCGGAGGACGTAGGTGCACAGACCAAAACCCCCACCCCGCTGGCGTGCAGTGTACCACTCACGGAGCTGCTGAGGGGACAGGGTCTCACGATCCGCGCGGCTGCTGCTGGCGCGGACCCACCACCGGAGCCACTCCTCTGCGTGACCCGCGGCCATCTCCACCGCCACCCCTGCTGCCTCCGCCGCCTCCGCCGCCTCCGCTACTACCGCCGCCTCCGCCGCCTCCTCCTCCGCCACCACCTCCGCCACCTCCGCTCCCACCGCCACCGCCGCCACCGCCTCCGCCTCCCACTGCCGCCGCCGACACCTCCACCCCCCACCTCCACTCCCACCGCCACCCCCACTCCCCCCCGCCGCCTCCACCTCCACCTCCACCGCCCCGCTCGCTCCTCCAGTGCCCTGCCCCCCTTGCCCTTACCAGAGCGGTTCGTCTACCGCTAGGGGCAGACGCCGCACCGACCGACTCAAGACCAACGAGGTCGGCCCGCCAGCAGTAGAGGCAACGGAGGGCAGAAGGGGGGGAGGGGGAACACCCCTCAAAGATGGGGTGCGTGGGTCTCCACGAGAGGCCCCCTACAGCGACTATGCTCTTCTCGGTCGCTAGGAGGGACTTCTCGAGGAGGTCAACAGTGAGAGTGGTGGGACAGACTGAGAGGGAAGTGGTCCCTGACTACGCGAAGGGAGTAGGGAGGCGAGTGACTATGTAGTAGAGAGTGATGTACATGGGGGGGGGGGGGGGTTCCTTGGCGCAGAAGTCAGCAGGAAGCGCAGCGCTGGTAGCAAGTGTCATTAGTGCGGAGGTGCGTAATGAGGTCAGCGACTGTGGGAAAGGCAGCAAGGTCAGGGAAGAGGTACGGCAGCATGAGGCGGCGTCAGTGCCGTAGTGGCAGGGGAAGAGTAGCGCGCAACTACAGCGTCGTACAAGGTCTGAGCACTCTTGTACTGACTAAAGGTAGCAGCTGCGCTCAGTGGTAGGCAGGTGGCGACGCACAGCAAGACGCTGCAGCAAGCATCGCGAGTGGCCCACTGTGAACGAACAGTGCGTCGGCATCAGCAGCAGGGGCAGGGAAAGCACCAGAGGTGAGGTCAAAGAGGGAGAGAGAGGACCGTCTGCCATATCGCACTGTAGGAAAAGCTGCAGGTCATTCTACCCAGACGTTCAAAGTCAATGGCCCGACTGTCAGCGTCAAAAGTGAGAACACTGGGGGTAGCCATGACAGCAGTAGACTAGCAGCGCTAACTGTAGAGCAGGGGCAGTGCGGTGACAGAGGCGCTGCGCTCACCAGACAGGACGGTTCGGGCAGTTCGGGCTGCTCGGCAGCAACTGCGGCTCGGCGGCGCTCGCGGCTCGGCCCCTCAGCTGCTCAGGCGGCTCGGGCGGCTCGGCGGCTCGGGCGGCTCGGCGCGGCTCGTGCGGCTCGGGTGGCTCGGGCGGCTCAGGCTGCTTAGACGGCTGCGGGCGGCTCGGCTGCGTAGGCGTTCGGGCGGGGCCGTAGGTAGGGCGACGGGGCCGGGGCGGGGCGCAGGTAGGGCGACGGGGCCAGGTCGAGGTAGGGCGACGGGGCCGGGGCCCGGGCCGTAGGTAGGGCGACGGGGCGGGGCCGGGCCGGGTAGGGCGATAGGGCGGGCCCGGGCCGTAGGTAGGGCGACGCGGGGCCGCGGGCCGGGTCGTAGGTAGGGCGACGGGGCCGGGGGCCGGGTCGTAGGTAGGGGCGACGGGGCGGGGCCGGGCCGTAGGCAGGGCGACGGGGGCCGGGTCGAAGGGGTAGGGCGACGGGGCCGGTGCGCAGGCAGGGCGACGGGGCCGGGGCCGGGGCGCAGGTAGGGCGACGGGGCCGGGGTCGTAGGTGGGGCGACGGGGCCGGGGTCGCAAGCAGGGCGACGGGGCCAGGGTCGCAAGGGGGGCGACGGGGGCGGGGTCGCAGGTAGGGCGGCGGCGGCCGAGGCGCAGGTAGGGCGACGGGGCGGGGCCGTAGGTTGGGCGACGGGGTCGCTAGGGTGACGAATCAGGGGCCGCTTAGGCGGCGCGACTTGGCCGCTAGGGCGGCTCGACGAAGTCAGAGAGGGGGAGCGACTCGCGACTGACGGCTCGAGCCGCTGCCGGGCAGGAATAAAAAAAACTTTCGACTGGTGGGCCTAGGCACAGTTCCCACGAGGGAACCTGCTCGATACCATGAGAAGATTGAAACGAGAATGAAATGAACTATGAATGAACTGAGTACAAGTACTAACCCCAGTTAGGTTGTACCCCTTATGGGGCTACCCCACTATAGCCTACACAATAAGCACAAGCTATATGTTCTGACAAAGGCTACTTGGTTTTTCAAGTGATAAACCAGAGCCTCTCCTGCCAGGTATGTAGGCGACAGCTTTAAAGGAGGGTGCCTCTAGATTGACCACGCAACAACCATGGTGTAAAGGAATTTTCTCGACATTTCTTACCGCAACCGCCAACATCGCGTATAGCAGCAGCCGTTGTTCGCCTGTTACTGCTAAAGGGGCTTCGCCAACTTCGCGCGCACTGTTTCACCAAACCATGCACCGCTGGCCCGCCTAGTCGGCCTACGCTTCGGGACTTGCCCGAACCTCGATGCCAGCCTAGCAATGGCTAGCTCGTAAGCACCGCGTAACCATTGCATGTTTCGAACATAAGTATTCCCTCATGCCTTCGCTCATATTTTTTTACACGTTTGACACCTAGTGCAATCCGTGCTATCTCGTTCCATTGCACCTGTACACTTGGTATCAGAGCCACTTTCTTTCGGACCGCGCATCTCCGCACCCCAGAAAATCAATATTGAGTTTTTGCTCGAAGAGACTCACGCCCCTTAGCACCTAGGAGCCGCTATCCTCGCGTTCACTCGAAAACGCGTGCAGCCACGACCGCGCTTAGACTAAGCTGATTTTAAGCACGAAGTCACCACACATTCTAAGCACAAGCAAATGGCCACAAGGCCAGTTCACATGCAGAGTTATATAAAGAAGAACAAACAATATAGTGATCACAACCTAGCAAGAGTAAGCATGCAGGTATATGTATAAAGATCACAGTACAAGCAAAGTCAAGAGGTAAGCATTGTGAGGCCCAGTGGGCACAAGGCCTAGAACAGTACACAAACGCTGATGATCACAAGGCTGAAGTGCCTTGTGAAAACATCAGCAGTGCTGGCCCGAGTGGCCACGTAAGCAAGACGAAGCTGACCACGTTGCTGCAGCTCTCGAGCAAGGAAGTAGCGTAGAGCTATGTGCTTCGTTCTGTGCTCCAGCCTGTGCTCCTGACACAAGGCAATCATGGCCTTGTTGAGGAGAACGAGGCGGCTCTCCCAGGTCGGTCTGCAGGTAGGTGAGCCAGCGTAGCTCCTTTGCAGCCCATGGCCCCTGCGTAGAGCTCAGCTTCACAGCTGGAGCTAAAACAGAAGACGAGCAGGTAGACCGCCACGAAACAGAGCCAGAGCCAAGGCTGAAAGTGTAACCCTATGACGACCACTGCGTAGCCAAGTCGTCAGCCCAGGAAGCGTCTGCGTGAGGACAACTGGAGCCCGGTCCTCCAAGCATGAGCCCCATGCTCGACGTACTGCACAAGTAACGCAACACCCTCTTAGCGGCATCCATGTGCTCCTTCCCTGTATCTCCCAGGAGCAACATAGTGTGCCAAGATGCTAAAAGGGTAAGTCAGGTCAGGTCGAGTGCAGGTTATCAGGTACATTGAGGCAGCCCACAAGCTCTGGATACGGGCCACTCGGCTCTACGGGACTCATCCAAAGCCTGAGCTGAGAGGACTGGGGACAGTGGCGAGGCGTACGTGAAGCCGAAGCGCTGAAGGACCTGCTGCACCATGTGTGACTGAGTCAAAGTAATGGTGCGCTGTGCTCTGTCCCGGATGATCCGCAAGCAAAGATAGCTGCGCAGCTCACCCTGGTTCTGTGCACGTGTGTCTCTTCTGCATCTCGGACTTCACCGTGGGCGAGTCCCTCAGTGTCATCAATGGCAAAGACCAAGTCGTCGACGTAGACGAGGACGTAGAACGGCAGCAGAGATGGTGTCGATGCGTAGAATCAGCGACGGGTCAGCACTGGAAGGAGCAAAGCCAAGAGCCGCAAGGGTCGTCCTCAGTGTTTCGTGCCAACTCACGGGGCGCCTGGCGGACACCGTAGACTGGCCGCCTGGAGGCTCCACTGGGTACCCAGGAGGAAACGACCCAGTGAAGCCAGCTGGGCGGTGCAGCCAGATCTCCTCGTGGCAGGCTGCCCTTGTAGGAAAGCAGTGCTGAAGTCAGAAGAGTGCAGCTCGTAGTCACGCTGAGCAGCTACGGCAGCGGAACCCAAATGTGGTCATCTTCGGGGGTGGGGAGAAGGTCTGGAAGAAGTCAACTCCCTCTTACTGACTGAAGCCTCGTGCAACGTAACGCGCCTTGAAGACACGCAGAGAACCCAACAGCCGCTTCACTCTGAAAATCCCACATGCCAAGTGACAATGTTCGCTCCAGGCGGGGGAGGTAACCCTCGTCGACGTAGGTGCCTGTGGACTTCCAGGAAGCCATCTCTGCGTCCATGGCTGTTTGCCACTGAGAGGAATAGGGACCCTGTATCGCTTCTGCGTATGAGGCTGGGGTGGTCGGGATGTTTGGTGCATCCGGGTCTCCCTCAGGGGCAATTAGCATGGACACGAGATGCGATAAAGCAGCGGCAAAGCACTCAAACTCCTCCTTGCCTGTCCAGAAGGACGTTCGTGCCAAGAGCACACTCACTAACCCCCGACGGACAGAGGACAGACAGACTCAGACTCTGACTCAGCAACAAGGCTAGCGGCGTAGTCTAGACGACAGGCAACCGCAAAGTCAACAAGCTCAGCAACTAGGGCAGACGCAGCAGTGGACTCAAATGACGTGTTAGTGGCAACAGTGGCCATGAGACGCGTGAGAGTAGGACTAGTAGCACGAAGGGAGTCAGGACTCTGGGTCCGAACCGTCGTCAAGAGAGGACGCAGGAGGAGACGGCAGAGGGACGCACAGTGGAGCAGTGGAAGGACGAAGGGCCATCTGGTGCGTGACAAGGACAGGAGGAAAACGCGGGCGTGGGACACGGACTACCAGTGCGAACAGCGCGAACAGGTGACGAAGGATGAGACTCAGGCTACGTAGGACGAGACTCAGGCTTACGACGCTCTATAAGACCTCTAGTCGGCCCAGAGTAAGGAGAAGGACCCAGGCAGTCGAGAGTCTGGCTCTAGCTGCGACTCCGGCTGGGCAGGCTGTGGACACAGTAAGGGAAGTGTGGGACTAGTAGAAGGCGGGAGGTCAAGAACCTGCTGAAAGAAGTGGAACGACAGTATGGCCGCGGCCGCACAGCGCCTCCAGAACCAGCAGAGATAGCACCAGTTCCCCTTGCTCCAGGGTCTCCAGCTCCTACTCCCGCAGCACCACCAGCTCCAGCACCTCCAGTAGCTATAGCTCCAGGAGCACCTCAGCTGCAACAGCACTAGCGCCTCCCGCTCCAACTCCGGCAGCACCACCAGCCCCAGCAGCTCCAGTACCTCTTGTACAAGCACCTCCGGGACCAGCAGCTCCAGCACCTCCAGCAGCTCTAGCATCAGCAGCACCTCCTGCTCCAAGAGCTCCAGCTCCTCCAGCAGCTCCAGCACCAGCAGTACCTCCTGCAACTCCAGCACCAGCAGGACCTCCAGCAGCTTCTAGCTCCAGCAGCACCTCGCTTGAGTCTCCAGCGGCGAGCAAACCACTCGCCGCAGCTGCGGTGGAGAGAGAGGCTCCCGACGCAACGAGGCACCTACAGG